TCCTAATAAAAAAGTTTAAAAATTATAGTGCTGAAGGCGTATTAAAATATTTCCATTTTCCCCAAGCATCTTTAGCATATTGGGTTAAATATGTTGTCTCTAAGTCAAAAGGTTATGAGTTTAATTCAGTTATTTAATAAGTCTTTGAGAAGCCCCTTGTCTACTTCCAAAATCTGGAGGAAGTGGATAATTTCATAACTGAATAATAAATTCAGGTAATTTTTTTTTTGCTTTTAACAAAATTGCAAGACTTAATCATGTTCTAATTATCATAAATCATTGAGATTCTTTGGATAAACTAAGGAGTCCCCCAAGATGGATGACATCATTATGAGGAAACACCTTCCATTGCCATATGCTAATTTGATAGCAAAGCTTCGCGGAGCTTACATTTATAAAAATGAAAAACGGAAGAGAACTGGCCATGAGCCCTATCTCATTCTAGCAAGTAGTAATGTTTATCCATAAGTTTCTTAAATCTTCATTTAAAAACTCTTCATTTATCCCATTAAGAAATGCATTTCAAATATCTTACTTATACGACTGTCCAGACAATATGGGACTTGGATCAAACATACACTAACGAGAACTGTTAATGACACAAAGTATTTTTCTGGATTGCATTAACAGCCTTATGGTCGAAGGAAATAAAACAAATTTTTATTTTTGTTAGATAATCATGACAGAATCATAAAAAGACTTATGCTTTAGATATTACATTAGGATAAAATTCTGAGGGAAGTGGAATGGAAACGTGAGCTTAAAGAGGAAAAAGATGTAAGGGTTTGAACTGATAAAGAGCTGTTTGTGTACCTTTAAAAATGGAGAGGGGACAAAAATAGACACACAGATCAATAGAATAGAGAACCCAGAAATAAACCCACACTTATATGGTCAATAAACCTACAACAAAGGAGAAAAGAATATACAATGGAGAAAAGACAGCCTCTCTTCAATACATGGTACTGGGAAAACTGGACAGCCACATGCAAAAGAATGAAACTGGACCACTTTCCTACACCATATACAAAAATAAACTCAAAATGGGCTAAAGACCTAAATGTGAGACACGAAACCGTAAAACTCATAGAAGAAAACATAGGCGGTCATCTCTTTGACATTGGCCTTAGCAACATTTTCCTGGATAGGTTGGGAAAACAAAAACCAACTATTGAGACTATACCAAAATAAAACTTTTGTACGGGGAAGTAAACCATCAAGAAAATGACAAGGCAACCTACTGAATGAGAGAAGATAATTTGCAAATGGTATTATCTGATAGGGGTTAGTATCCAAAATACATTAAGAACTTAACAGCAAAAAATTATCTGATTAAAAAATGAGCAGAGAGGAGCACCTGGGTGGCTCAGCTGGTTAAGCGTCAGGTCATGATCTCAGAGTCCTGGGATGGAGCCCAGCAGGGAGTCTGCTTCTCCCTCTCCTCCTCCGCTCTCTTCTCTGCTTTAAAAAAAATGAGCAGAGGACCTGAATATTTTTCCAAAGAAGACACACAAATGACTAAAAGACACTTGAAAAGATCTCATCATCACTATTCAACAGGGAAATGCAAATCAAAACGAGATATCACCCTACACCTGTCAGAATGGCTAGAATCAAAAAGACAAGAGCAAGCAAGTGTTGGTGAGGATGTGGAGAAAGAGGAACCCTTGTGCACTGTTGGTGGGAATGCAGACTGGTGCAGCCACTGTGGAAAACAGTGTGGATGTTCCTCAAAAAATTTAAAAATAGAACTACCCTATGATCCAGTAATTCTCCTACTGGGTATTGACCCAAACAAAACGAAAATGCTAATTTGAAAAGACATACGCACCTCTGTTTATAGCAGCATTATTTACAATAGCCAAGATATGGAAGCAGGCCAGGTGTCCATCGATGGATGAACATTTAAAGATGTGGGCTATACACACAATGGAGTATTACTCAGTCATAAAAAATAAAGAGAGCTTGCCATTTGAGACGACATAGATGGACCTACAGGGTATTATGCTACGAGAAATAAATCAGAGAAAGACATATACCGTATGATTTCACTCATGTGGGATCTAAAAAAAAAAAAAAAAAACACGAAACAAATGAAGCAAGAAAAAAATCAAACTCTTACAAGGAACAAATTGACGGTTGGGGGTGGGTGGGTGGTGGGTGAAATAAAGGGGATTAACAGGTATAAACTTCCAATAAGTAAGTCATGGAGATGGAAAGCACAGCATACAGGGGCGCCTGGCTGGCTCAGTCAGAGGACCTGCGACTCTTGATCTTGGGGTTGTGAGTTCGAGCCCCATGTTGGGTGTAGAGATGACTTAAAGATAAAATCTTCAAAAAAAAAAAAAAAGGAAAATACAGCATAGGGATTAGTATAACTGTAGTAACGCTTGGTGACAGGGGGTGATGGCACTTACTGTGGTGAGCACTGAGGGTAAAGAAAGATGCACAGCGGGTTCTGCTGCATACCTTTAAAAGTGAGGTAATTTCTATCTTGAAATTCGCAGTATGTGGGCAGCTGCACACTTCGTGATTTAAAAGGTTACAAAGTTTAGATGTCAGATGTAGAATCCGTGGAGGGGTCCGGGTGGCCCAGTTCCCCGTGGGTTTGCACCAGCATAAAGGTGGGAGGGGCGCGGCGGTGCACTGGGGCTCCCGCGCCCCTGCCTCCCGTTTGCCCTGGTGCTGGTTTCCTTATTTAACACCGTTAGGTCCCGATAAGCACCTTTCTACCTCCCTTGATTTCTTTGCAGGACGACGTAAAGCCCGAGTTGTCTCAGTGACGGGGCCGCGGAGAGCAGCTCCCCCACTTCTGGAGGAGAAAAGGGGAGCTCGGGGTGGGGGGGGGGGTCCCGCGCTCCCAGCACAGCGCCCACCGCTCTTCCACTCGCACGGACCGCCGTCTCCCGTCTTCCACTGCTGTTTACTTTTGAGGTATTCTGTTTTTCCTCTTATTTCCCAGTCCCTAATTTTCCAATAGAGTCTGGCCACAGTTTATAAACGCAACAGGCTTATATACATATTTGTATTTTTGAGTGAGGCTGTGCCTTGGGGCCTTACTCAAAAGGAAGCCACTCCCCACCCCTTTTGCTGTTTACTTTTTCCATATGCAACTTCCGCTAGTCCCTTTCTGGTGACTTGGGTGGAGCGGAGCCGACCTCGTGCGTGGCAGCCCCTGGAACAGGACCCGATGCTGCAGCGGTGTCCAGCTGCCCGCCATCAGCCAACCAGAGGCCGCATTCCGCATGCTCTCCCCCAGCCCCGATTTCTTTTTCTGGTGAGGCTACGTGAGGCAGAGGACACGTCAAAAAAAACAAACAAAAAACAAAAAAACAAGGCTAAACGCACTCCCGTGCGAAACCTGGCTTTGCCAGAATTCCATGAACTGGTAGCTGACTTGGGTTTGCTCCTTCAGGAAGACTGGAGAGGGAGTTGTTTTCTGTTGTGGTTTTCAATCATTAAAGCTCGCTCTAGTCAACGCTGTTGAACAGGAACTGCTAACAATGAAACTGAGAAAAATAAACACAAACATGAACAAATGACCTTTTTATTTCCTACAGAGATACAAAGGCAATTGTGTGCGGCAACCTCGTGGGCAGTCCAAATGGTTGGAAGTAAATTCATGATTAAATGTCACGCTGGCCAGTGGAAGAGAAGGTCAGAGGCTGAGGGATGAGACACAGAAGGCTACGGCTGGTGAACAGCAGGAGGAAGAGCTACATGGCTTCAACGCTGGGAAACGAGTTGGTCTGGGCCTTCTCCATGCTGTTTGAACCGTAGTTCTACACGAAATTTTGAAGTGCATGTTGCACTATTTTGCATTAGGAGTTTATCAAGGGCACTACAATCCTCACAAATAATTGAAACACCGTATTTTATTAAAGGAGTTGTAAACTTTGCTCGGGGTCTACCATGCATGGGGCCATGGGGGTCCGATGGGCATCGGGGATGGCTATCCTCTTAAGGAGAAAGGGTTGACACTTTGGTAGGTCTCAGTTTTTGTAGTGATGCTACTTTCCTTAGCATCTGCTTTTGATCTGAGGAAAATATTCACTAAAGAGTGATCTTCCAAAATACAGTAAAAAAAACCAGGTCAGGCTGGTGACGCACCACACCTCACCTCTTCCTGGGTGGAGGGTGTGAAGACTCAGACAACTCACATTTGCACGATGGTGGACCTTACCGAGTAAACAGTCTCAGGAAAAACACATCTCCAATGCTTACATTTGTAATAGGGACACATCACATGATTTGTTATTAATGAAACAGTTTATTGGCTTTCAATATACATCAATGAATTTTTAAATGTAAGTTTACTTTGTTAAACTTTATGTTTTATGACAAAAGAATACTGAACCAAAACATCAGAGAAAATGGAGGCTCAGCAGCATGATTTCCAATGTATTTTCCTGGATAAACAGTTTTGTGTGTTTTTTTTTTAAAGTATATGACTTTTTATGTAATAACAAAAGCGTCCTAAATTCAATGTTTAGAATTGAATTGTTTCTGACTAAACCCAGAAAAATGGGAGCTCATAAAATAAAGGCATGGCATGGGCAGCAAGAGAAAGAAGTGGGAAAAAGAGATCTTAACACCAAGTTAACGTCGGTTGGCTGGTTTTGTTTTTGTTTCAGTCTATTTAAGGCAGGATTATCTCCCTGCAACCCTGCAGATAAATCCTAGTGTTGTAGCTATGTAAGAAAGTTCTAAGAGTTCAGATATACAGATAAGCCAATTTTTAAAAACCATTTTCTTACCATATTCTAAAGGCTTTTAAAGCATTATATAAATCTTAAAAAAAGTCCTATCACCCACATTTTAAGAAGTAAATCTACACTTTCATAAGGCACTCTTGAGACATAAAACAGTTTTGAAGACAATTACACTCTATGCTAGGGCTGGCCGGTCCCTTCGCCACAGGGAGAGCGGACAGGACCGCCTTCCCGGATGGAGCCCCTCCCTCCAGCAGCACAAACACGCAGGCAGCCGGGTATTCCCGGTGGGCCTCTCCCGGCCGCCGATCAGAGAGCTACACCAACAGCACGGTTCATGTTTAATGGTGACGTTTAAAAGCCGTGTCTCCCCCTTTGCTAGAGAGGTTTCCTTTGAGCACAGAACAGTGATTTCCGTTAGCTCCTGCGCATAAAGGAAAACAGAATGGAAGAGAACCAAGAAGCCCCTGGATCCTTCCATTTGACCAATGGGATGGAAATGTAAAGGTGCGTCACCTTTAAATGAAAACCTAGTGACTGCAGATGTTTGTGTGCCTCCCATGCGTGTCCGTTACTAGCGCTGAGCGCGCCCGCTTCCAAATAGCAAGAATTCAAGTCCCACCACCCCTGTTGCTAATTCACACAAACACCGAAGCTTACAAGAGAGTCATGCGGCCTCTCAGACCTTAACAACGGAGAGAGAGTTCAGTGGAGCTTCCGCTCTTTCCTAAGTGACGGAAGAAAATGAAGGAACGAGAGGGTCAGACTAAGCCTGAAACACAATTTCACTGGGAAGAAAGGGCAACAGAAGTCCCATCGGAGCGGGAGGGGTGAGAAGTGTGGCGCTGGGAGTGTATCGAGTTGAGGCTTCGTCGTGGGCCAGGTCTTTGTTTCCAATGAGGAAAGAAGGAACCGAAAAAGGGAACCGTGAGGAGCTTCTTTCCTTCATCCTTCTGGGCTGGCGGCAGCGGATCCATTACTTCCCGTAGAATTTTTTGTTGAGGAGGAAGATCAGAAGGTTGACATTTACTTTAGCTCTATTAAATAATTTCATGACAGCAACGCCTTCATACTGTAGCTGCAGTAGGTCCTGTTCAAAAAACCATTTTGACCGTCAAACAAGTCTGTGGCGTAAGACAAGACATGAGGTAGGGAGGGACCCAGAAGGAATGAGGAATGACAGACATGAAGTGGGGTGAGAAAGGAGTGCTGTCCCCTGCACAAGCCCCCTGAGAGCTCGAGGAGCAGGGCACGCTGCTCAACTGAATTTTCTGGCCCATTTGGAGTTAAGAAGTCATGTGGTTCATATCAAAATACACAAAACAGGGAAAGAAAAAGCAGCATGTTCAGTCATCACACATACTTCCTATTTCAGAAGTGACAATAACGTGTCTCCAGTCTGTCTAAGTGACAGGTCACCTGGGGAAGGTGAAGGCATTTCAATCTGTGATAAATACACTAATCACTAAAACCAGGACACGGCCACCAATGTCGTCACAAGGCTATCGACTAGAGTCTTACTTTCTATTCCACCTGAGAAAGCTTTTATATTCTGAAGGGGGAAAAGGACAAAATGTTTATTAGGTGCCTACTATGCGCTCAACATTGGGTAAGCACATCAGATAGTGTCTTCTTAAGTCCTGATCCAAGTCCTAGAGGTCTGATTATCTTAAGTTTAAAGGCTAAGCTTGGAGACGTTCAGGGACTTGCCCAACAGCACCGAGTGGGACAGAGTGGATCTGGATCCGAGTGTAAAGCCCCCGCTTCTCCCACTGCCCTCCACGGTCCAGAGCACATTTAGGAAGTGAGTGGTCTCACCCGTGAACTTCAGAAGAGACATGATGAGAAAGCAAGAGTCAAAGCGCTTGAAAGAACCCCAAAGTTCAACCAGTTCATCTTGTGGAAAAATCCTAGCGGCTCCCTGAGAACGAAGGCCCTGGTGCGTCACCTGTGCCAACGTAACACCTCATACCTGATCCTCGCTCCTTATTGAACGCACACGTGCACGGACCAACACACTACCCGAGGCAGGCTGGTCGGCCTGTACAACTCTGGTGAGCCTGAAGGCCAACAGGATCTTCCTTTGCGGAAGCCCCTGAGCACGTGCATCACGGAATCGCTTCACTTTGGTTCAGCTGACACATCTGAGGATCTACTCATCACTGAAGACACACCGCGGTCCTTAAGGAGTGGAGAGTTTGGGGAGGGGGCGGAGAGCGGGTCAGAGCGGCAACACGCTTAGAGGAAAAAAGGACAGGGACGGGGGCCAGCACGTGCAGAGTCGGCCGTGCCCAGGCCCACGGGGCACGGCAGTGAGGCGGGGACGGAGCTGCTGTGGACACACACGAAGTGCGGGAGCCTGGACAGAGCGCAGGAGGCCTCACGGCATCCTGGCGCTTTTCTAATGTGCAAACACCGGAGACATTTCGGAATAAACATTAGCTAAAATCATGTTATGAAATGAGTCACTGCAGAGTTCTTCCCGAATTAAAAATAGGATTCAGTTTACAAAGATGCAATTTATACACGCCTTGTCAGAAATACACCTTTAGGGCCCTAGATCAAATCAAAACGAGAGAACAGATTTCAAGCTACTGAATAAGCTAACAATTTTCTACTATCAATACTTAAGAGTTTGTTCAAGGTCAAGGTACCAGTTCAATTTAGTGGCAAGACAAAGCAGAAGCTTCGGACAAAAGCCTGGAGAAGCGTACCGATCCGCCACAGCTCTCCGGGGAGCGCGAAGGCAGATGCACAGGGCCCCGCTCCTTCCGTGCCCGTGTGGGGCCCAGCCCACCGCTGGGTAGGGGACAGCTGTCCCCAAACAGATCTCCGTCACCCCTGCTCTCCTGCCTCGTCGAGGACAACCACTGCACACGCAGAGCTTTCGGTTCTGCGTGCGGCATACCCACCTGATAATGCAACATAAACGTCTCCATTTGAACGCCCATGAACTTGGCTTTCACTTCAAAGTCTCCGACTTCTTCTGTTGGACTGATTTCAAAGATAACATTCTTAAACCTGTTGAAACATAACATCGTAAGGGTGTGATTTTTACATTCTCGTATAAAAATATTTTATGAAATGTAGAAAGGAGATTTCTTCAAGGGGCGCCTGGGTGGCTCAGTCAGTTAAACGTCTGTCTTCAGCTCACGTCATGATCTCGGGGTCCTGGGATCGACTCCCTCATCAGGCTCCCTGCTCAGCGGGGAGTCGGCTTTCTCTGCTCCTCCTCCTGCTCATGCGTGCACGCACGCGCTCTCTAATAAATAAAATTTTAAAAAACCAATCTTCAAGAGTGAAAAGGGGTAAAAAATAAAGGTCCCAAGTACTTCTACAGGTGGAGCAACGTGGGGCTGCTACTCTAAGTACCACATGCTTGGAGATTTGGGGTGAGGCAGGCAACCCTCCCTGCAGCCCTTGCATACCACAGGAAGAGGGACCACTGAGGAAGGCCACGACGGCCTCTGACGTCACAGGAATTCTCTTGGGCTTCCCTGTGGCCACTGCTGAAATCTAATAATAAAAGCGTATCAAGAGGAAACTAGACTGGCAGCAGAGGGAGGAAAGGTGTGTGTGTGAATGCATGCGTGGTGGAGGACTGTTGCAACAAGTGCTCAAGGAAACAAAAAGGGGTAAGAACAAGAAGAGCCATGACAGGAGCTGCCAGAGCTATAAAGGCACTGAGTACTAAGTACCACCGAAGATACACTGCTATTTACCAAAAATATTTAAAGTATCTCTCATTCTCAACGTGTTACAAGCCCGGAAATTTTATGGTAACAAGGTGTTGTTCCCTGGGTGATCAAAGTACATTGGCCCAGATTTCTAGAACTCAACTGTGGAGCAAACTTATCTACTAGGAACTGAGCTGAGAACCACAAATGATGCAGCAGAGGCCATGGAGAAGCTACGGGAGAGGTCACAAAATCCATGAACTAGAACACGTGCATCTTACTCAGCAGGAGGTCCTCACAGGTCTTTCCTTAAAGGTACTTCCTGTGATAATTTTATTTTAACCAGTTTGCTTTGTTATCTGGTTTCTTCCTTTCTTTTTAAAGATTTTATTTATTTATTTATTTATTTATTTATTTATTTATTTATTTATTTATTTATTTATTGGGGGGGGAGGGAGGGAGGGAGGACAAGCAGGCAGAGCATCAGGCAGAGGGAGTAGCAGGCTCCCCCTGCTTTAATTTTTCTGATCCTAAAATAACATAGACTCATTACTGAACTTTGGAAATTGGTAAAGCATGAAGAAAAAGAAAAGGCACCTATAATTTCACAAGCCAAAGATAACCACTAAAACAGTGTATGTTCTTCTGTGCCTCTGTCCACATAAAGATTATCTAACCACCCACTTACTTATCTACCTATTTTTTTAGCATAAATTGTAAATACAGTCCTGTATCCCAACTTCTCTCTAGTAACATTTTGAGAATTTTTCACATTCTTTGAACACATCCTTTTTAATGGCCACACAATATTCCATATTGTAGTTAAAGTTTAACCATTCACCTACTGTACAACACTTACGTTGATTTTACTTTTTACATTATTACACTTGTGATACACGTTTATATGTAAATCTCTGGTTTTACCTCTGATTATTTTTTATGATAGATGCCTAAAAATGGAATTTTTGGTCAAAGTATTAAAATGTTTTTCATTATAAAAACCACAAGACTTAAAATTTACCTTCTTAACTATTTTTGAGTGTGTAGTTTAGTAGTGTTTTAAGTATATTCATGTTGTTGTGCGACAGATAGTCCAGGGCCTTTTCATCCTACCAAACTGAAACTGTACCTGTTAAACGACAGCTCCCCTTCCCCCTCCCCCAGCCCTGCAACCACCATTCTACTCCCCATTTTTATGTGTTTGACTCCTCTAGGCACCTCCTGTAAGTGGAGTCACAAGGCACGTGTCTTTTCACCACTTGGCTTATTTTACTTAGTACAATGTCCCCACGGTTCATCCATGTCGTGGCCTGGGACAGATGTCTTTCCTTTTTAAGGCTGAATAACATTCCACTGTGTGTGTATGTGGCACATTGTGTTTCCACATCCGTCTGCGGACATTTGGGTTGCTCCCACCTCTTGGCTCTTGTGAGTAATGCAGCTATGAACGTGGAAGTGTAAATATCTCTTTGGGATCCTGCTTTCAGTTCTTTGGAATATACGCCCCAGAGTGGGATTGCTGGAATATAGAGAGTTTTCAAGTTTTTGAGGAACTGCCATACTGTTTTACCTAGCAGCTAAAAAAGTTCAACCCTTATGTATATCACTGAACTATTTTGCAGTAATGTCAGAAATGTATGCCGAAGTGCTTACTTATCCCACTGCTTCCCTGCCATCACTGCATAATAAAATAATTTTCCATGTTTTTATTGGTTATTTACCCCAAAGATACAAATGTAGGGATCCGAAGGGGTACTTGCACCCAATGTTTATAGCAGCAATGTCCACAATAGCCAAACTACACAGAGTCCAGATGTCCGTCGACAAATGAATGGATAAAGATGTGGTGTGTGTGTACGTACGTACGTACGTACACACACACACACACACACACACACACACACAGGAATATTACACAGCCATCAAAACCCCAAAATCTTGCCATTTACAACGACATGGATGGAACTAGAAGGTGTTATGGTAAGCAAAGTAAGTCAATCAGAGAAAGACAATCATAGGATCTCACTGGTATGTGGAATTTGAGAAACAAGGCAGAGAATCATAGGGGAAGAAAGGAAAATGTGAAACAAGATGAAATCAGAAAGGCAGACAAACCATAATCTCAGGAAAACAAACTGAGGGTTGCTGGAGGGGAGAGGGTGGAGGGATGGGGTGGCTGGGTGATGGACATTGGGGAGGGTATGTGCTATGGTGAGCACTGTGAATTGTGTAAGACTGATGAATCACAGACCTATACCCCTGAAACAAATAATACATTATATGTAACTTTAAAAATAATAATTAAAAGTAATGATAAATAATTTTCCAGGTTTTTAAATTCAATAGTTAAAAAACAGTATCTCATTTTAAACTTTGCATTTCTTAGAGTCTGGTTGAGTGTGTGTGTGTGTGTGTTTGTGTGTGTGTGAATCATGGCTTATTATCTGTATTTTCTTTGGTCATTTTTCAGTTGGGGACCTTGGTCCTTTTGAGGTTTTTTGTGCTGAACACTTTATGCACTTTTTGAGTCTGTCTCATATTTATTATCTCTTCCCTTCCTTTTTGTCATTATTTTCTACTGTTCAAATGTTGTCCATTTTTTTGCCTGTCTTTCTTCTTTTCAATTTGCTGCTAGAGGCTTTGAAACCGAGTAACAGGGGCGCCTGGGTGGCTCAGTCAAGTGTCTGTCTTTGGCTCAGGTCATGATCCCAGGGTCCTAGGATCGAGTCCTACATTGGGCTCCCTGCTCAGTGGGGAGCCTGCTTCTCCCTCTGCCTGCCGCTCCCCCTGCTTGTGCTCTCTCTCTGACAAATAAATAAATAAAATCTTAAAAAGAAAAAACAAACTTGTTGTTTTAACAGACACAAAATCGGCAAGCTCAGCTGCATAAGGTCACAGGGCCGCCTGAGTAGGCACGTAATAATGCCTGCTAGTGACAGCCAGGCCAGATTTGGGAACCATGTAGACAGCAAGCTGGCACTTCCCAGGAAAGAGAATGAGGGTAAGTCCCTGATTCCCAGCCTCATAAAGTAAACTCTTCTTGTTATTCTTATTTATTCTTGGTTTAGACGTAGGAGAATAAGAAATGGCATCCTCCTTTAAAGAGGAAAGATTAAGATGGGGCCGGGGCACCTGGCTGGCTTAGTTGTTAAGCGTCTGCCTTTGGCTCAGGTCATGGTCCCAGGGTCCTGGGATCGAGCCCTGCTCCTTCGGAAGCCTGCTTCTCCCTCTCCCACTCCCCCTGCTTGTGTTTCCTCTCTCACAGTGTCTCTCTCTGTCAAATAAATAAATAAAATCTTAAAAAAAAAAAAAAAAGATTAAGATGGGGCCCACACAAGCAGGTGGAAACACAGTCTGGGGCAAATATTCCACAACAAAGGAGAAGGAACCCCTTCTCTGACAGACAAAACAATTCTGACTATTAGGCCTGCTGCACCTAAGTAGATACAGAAGTACAAAGAAAACATGGAAACGACCATCCACACAGCACAAATACAGGCAGTAAGATAAAGAGGTGATAAATGCAGAAATCAAGTCAATGTATAAGACAAAATAAAAAAGTCAATACTCACTGGTTCACTTGTAGGTCCTCAATCTCCAGAAGGACTCCTTTTTCATGCAGTCTTGCTGCTGTGTATTTCAAAGAAATCTTTTTGCTTTTCTTTCCTTTCATTTCCCTGGGCTTCTTGGAGACCCTGTAAAAAATCACACCCTATCACCTTCTATCTGTAACTGTGTACTACAAGTCTGTTGGTAGTTCGAGGATATGAGGTCAGAAAACGGACTTCCCAGACGCAGGCCTAAGTAACATAACGATTCTAAAATGGCAAGTGTTAGGATTAGCCTGAGCCATCTCTCTGCACAACAGGGGAAGCATTACTAAACTGCTTTTGCCTTTAATTGTATTTGCAAACCCACCATGAATTTGACAGTCTATGTCATCTGCCTAGGTCCCTCCCTTCTCAACACCCAGCACCCACAAGTTAGGTGTGAAGGCTTCTAACACCAGCCTGAAAGAACTGTGCTGAACCCCAAGGGAGTCCCGGTAAGCCCCTTGGCTTGGCAGGGCGAAAATAAATGTATCTCAAAATAAGTAATGTTTAGAAGATTTTAAACCAGTGTAGCAAATACAGAGGAATGGGAACAAGGAAAAAGAAACAGACCTTAGGAGGCTATTGGGATAATCAAGGTAAGAAGTGATTTTCAAAAGTAAACAAGGGAAGACTAGGGATATCTGAGAACCAGGGATGTGGGGCTCCCATAGAAGGGTCTCCAGGGGCGGGAATGCTGGTACAGGAGTCAAGGGAAGTAAGCGCTACGGAAGGCAACTGCAAGATCTATAGAAATTACAACTGTACAAAATCTCTGATCCAGTGAGTCCACATCTAGGACTTTATCTTCAAAAATATGCCCACCTTTGCAAAATAAGTATATGAGGTTATTTGGTGCAGAATTTTTTAAGTAAATGAGCGGAAACAACACAAATGTCCATCATGAGAGACCTGATTATACCAAGTGTTGTATCTCTGTATGCAGTGGGATACCACACAGCCATTACAAAAAGAAAGGAGGACCCAGCTCTGTCTGCTTAGAACGCCTAGAATGCAACCACGACCCTGTGGCAATGAGCACATCTCGTGCCTGGATTGTGGTTTCTAAACACCATTCTTCATTAGAAGGCGCCAGGAATGCTTGGAGAAATAGCTAATTCCAAGCCTGGGGAGGGGAAAGTACAAGTTGAACCAGGAACACAAGTCAGGAAGTGCTCAAACAACAATGGGGAAAGGTCAAAAGGTCCCAGGAGCCGGCTCTGCAAGCTGGGTTGTGTGGGCCTGATTTTTATTCCTGCACATCAGCCCCGCCTCACCTCAGTCTTCCAGGGAGGGAAGGAGAGAGCCGGAGTGCAGGTGAAGAGTAAGGAAGCCAGAGAAGGGGAGCTCATGTGGCAAAATGTCAAAAACAGGTGAATCGAGGTGAAGGGTTTATGGGTGTTTACTGTTCTATTCTCTCAACCTTTCTGAAGCTGGAAAATTCTTAAACTGAAAACTAAGAAGTCCAAAATAAACTAACCCTAGTTAGTAGTGTAAGTAGAACTTGCACCCACCACCCCATCCGTCTGGGTCCTCAGTTTCCCTCCCTATAAATTGGTGTGTGCTGGTTGTCACTGGTGCCCGCGGGGAAAAGCTGGGGTCTGGGCTCCTGTCCCCAGGAGGTGTAGAGAGAGACCAGGGGATCGAAATGTCTATCATATTCCTTAAGTGATTCTGAGGCACACCCGGGTTTGGGGAGCACTAACTAGCTTCCTTCCGTGATTCTTTCATTTCTAGGGCCAAGAAGATATTTTAGAACAAGGGATGCTTAGAAATAAATAAGCATCCTTGAAATCCCCCCTACATTATTTATTTACATTACACAACAACAAATGGAACTAGGAAATCATACAAACACTTAGAAGCAAAACAAAGAATTAAAGCAATAAATAGACCCAGCATGTTTTAAGTAAAAACTTCCAAGGTCACTTCAGTTGCCTCTACTTCTTTTTCTCCTGACACTGATTCTTAAAAAAAAAATAAAAAAATACTCACTTGCCCTTGCTGGCCAAGTTATCCAAGCAGGTTTTGATATAGCTTTTGTAGTAATCCACCTGCTCTCCGTAGAAAGTGGCCTTCGAGTTCAGAGCGGCGTACGTTTGCTGCAATTTCACCAGCTCAGCCTTCCTCCTCTGTCGGTATCTCCGCTGATTCCGAATGTCCTAAGACACGATTATTAAAATTAGGAATATGATGGTAGGTATCACGTGCTTCTCAAATCATCCATGCTAGAGCCCAGCAGTGCTTAACTGCTTGCATGACCACACTTTCTTAGCAGGTAGCAATTTTTTTTTTTTTTTTTAAGATTTTTTTATTTATGAGAGAGAGAGAGTGTGCACAAGCCGGGGTGGGCAGAGGGAGAAGCAGACTCCCCGCTGCTTGGTCCCAGGACCCCGAGATCACGAGCTGAGCCAAAGGCAGCTGCTTAACCGACTGAGACACCCAGATGCCCCAACAGACAGCAATTTATGTTAAAATATTAGCAAAGAAATTTAGATCTCACCAATCTTTTTCCCTGTCTGTATTTTCTAGAGGTAGGGAAATGTGTTAGCTTTACAGACTTCCACGTTCTTACAATTTACTTGCAAAGCTGGTTTAACATCTTAAATACGTTGTCAGGAGAGGGAAGAAAAGATCATTTTGCCATATCAATTACCAAGCTCCCTGATGTGCATGGTACTGCCTTACTGGGCCAACAGTGAACACCTACACTCTGGGCCCACCCCAGAGCCCCTTATTCATGAAGATTCACATAAATCAAGGACTTCATTGACCAACTGGATGTGAATTTGTATGTCAGAGTAGTCATTAAAAAGATCTAGAAGAATTATTTAAGGCCAAAGACAAATCGAGGCACAGGAAGCTCTAATTAGGAGCTTCTTCCTACTGAGTTAGGCCATGGAATAAGTCATCAAAGGGCAGGTGAGGTCCTCGTGTTGGAGAAGTCAGAAACAATTCCTCAGAGAAGAGGACCCTCATTTGCCTGCACACTGAAGGCACGCTATCATCTCAACAGCTATGGTCACTTCACAAGCGCTGGGACAGGTTTATGCACGGCCAGGCCACCCCTGTCCCCCCCACATGGTACCTTGGCAATGTCGTTGATCAGCTCCTGGTATCTGTTCTTTGGGTCCACTGTCCCAAGCTCCGTTAACTTCTTCAAGCCCGACTGGATCTTATCCTTCTTCTCCTGAAGAGTGAGGTTGCTGTCTTCCTTTACAAATTTTGACTTTTTCATCTTGTCAGGAGTTTTGGCATCACGAATAGCACGCCTCTGCATGGCCCTCTGATGTTCTGCTTCCTACAGACACAGAGAAGAGAAAAATCGCTGGCAAGTTCACCACACTAATCCAAAACCTGAGTCGGTAGAGCATATCTACACCTGAATTTATACAGCTCTGAAACTCCATTCTGGAAACAGAGGGAACAAACCCGCCCTCTTGACAACTGACAGAGAAACTGCATGGAGCACATACAGATCTCTTCATCTAGAAAAGATTACATCAATGAAGTCACATGGCCTCGTAGGACTTCTTTCCTGGATTCACACATACAGTTAGATTGGGCTAGAGTGGCTCCAAAATCCCTCGTTTTTTCTCAAGAGCCATTTAATTTTCCTTGAAACACAGCTTCGTCCATTGGTGAATGATATAACCACACCAAGGCCAGTGCTCAGTCCATTCTTGCTAATGCTTTTTGCCACCTTGGCCAGGCTGGATCACACTGAAGGCCTCCCTTTGCTTTCAAGCATGCTGCAAATGCCAGTATCTCGAGAATGACAAGTCCTTCCCTTGATACTTCTTTCCCAGTCAACATCCAACGTTTGTCCGTTACGTCCCTGCCTGACATGACCCACACTGCTTTCTTCCTTCTTTAGCTCCTTGTAGTCTGGCTTCTGCATCTCCACTCTCGTGGCCAGTTACCACCCCATCCCGAATCCAGTGCATTTTCTTCGTTGTCACCTCGCTCACAGTTGCTGCGCTTTTTCTCCTTGCCCTAGGCATGGCTCTGGTACCTACAAGGGACCCATGGCAGTTTCTCTCTGTTCATTCTCAATACTTCAGTGATCACCTCTATGCTGACAGCCACATCTCTGTGGCTAAGGCTCTGGTACCACATTTTGAACTGTTTGTACCAGGATGCTCACATTTGGAATGGCTTGTAATTCCTCCCCAACTGGAGCAATCCTCTCCCCCAGACTGCCCTTTCCTCCTAATGTCAAGACCATTGTGCATCACACAAGGTGAAGAGAATACCCCCTGGAGTCAGAGAGAGCTTGATCCAAGACTGGTTCTGCCTCTACACGTGGACGATCTCGGGCCAGTTATGTGACCTCTAAGGTCTTAGATTCCTCGACTGTAACATGAGGGTGAAAAGACTCACCTCACAGGGACAGTGGGAGGAGGAAATGAAAGAACACAGGGGAAAACAGCAAACTAACAGTAGGTTCTCATTAAAGACTGGTTCCGCTTCTCTGCTTCACACCTCCTCCCATTAAACCAGATGCAGTTTTCGGTTTTGATCCTTTGCTTGCCCCTCCCACACATCTAGTCAGTAATCAATCATAGCATCTAAGAGCTGAGAATTCAAACAGTGGTTTTCGGGGTGCCTGGGTGGCTCAGTCATTAAGCGTCTGCCTTCGGCTCAGGTCATGATCCCAGGGTCCTGGGATCCAGCCCCCATCGGCTCCCTGCTCCGCGGGAAGCCTGCTTCTCCCTCCCCCACTCCCCCTGCTTGTGTTCCCTTTCTTGCTCTCTCTCAACCTGTGTCAAATAAATAAATAAATAAATCTTAAAACAAAACAAAGAAAAACCAGTCGTTTTCAGAGTCCTCGGTGTGGCTGTAAGGGATTCCCACAGGCACCCAGAGTCCCAGAGGGCGGGGCTGTGAGGGCCCCATTCCTGGTGTTCCCAGAGCAGCTCCATTTTTCCTTCTTTATAGCTGCGCTTCGGAGTAAACTCTCATCTAACAAAAAGGATTCCTAGGCTCAACATTTGAAACAAATGACCTACTTTTTGCATTTTACAAATGCAAAACAGGGGTCTTAGACAGAAGTTCCTCATCCATCCCTTCCCACTGCCGAGCCCCCCCGCAACCAACGGGGGCCGGGACTTTATCCCACAGCCTGACTGCTCGACTACGGAGAGCACCCCCTCACTGATCAGCATTAAACGGTCCCAAGGTTACAAAAGCTCTTTACTCTGTATCTGTCCAGGGCTAAACATGGGTTCTACTTGTTTGTTCTCCTGTCTTACTCCTCACTACTCACCCTCACCCTCGTCTTCATTCTAGAAATGTCAGTCCGATCGCATCAGGCCCCACCCTCCTTGGTGACGCTGTCTGCGTGGACTCTCCTGCCCAAGACGCCTCTCATCTACGCGCACACCCAGATCCCAGCCACGCCTCCTAAGTGTGGCTCATGTCCTGCTTCTTCCTGACGCTTCCCACCTCGCTGGCCTCTTTCCTGAACTTCGGGAATTTTTATAGCCAACATCAAAGCCAATTTTTAGTGGTTTTCTAATTATTTCAGGTCTATATGCCACATTTCTCCAACTAGATCATGAGTTCATTGACTTTAGGAGCTACATTCTGGACTTTTTTCTAACTACCAAGGCACTTAACAAAATTCTAGTGATATAACAATATTCAGTTGATTACTAGACAGAATTGCTGATTCTGCCTCAGTTAATTAACACACACACACACAGACTGCACATGATGTGCCATGAGCCTCCTGCCCTAAGAGCATCTGCCTCTTGAGGTAGGAGCCAACAACTTTCCCAGCAGGCCCTAACCACCACCTGGCCCAGGTCATCCAACAGCTCATGGATCGGATCACTGTGTTCTGGTCCACCTGCAGGGAAGCACCTCCTGGCATCTGGGTCCCACCCCCTCAACCCTGGCACGCATCAGTCACGGGAGCATCTGTGCCCCCTGTTAAGTTTTACCTGTTCGCTGGTGGCTGGGGTTTCTAGGATTTCAGTCAAGGTCTCGCCTGGCTGGAACCGAATGACATCCACAATTAAACGTTTCGTGCTGCAAGGAGATGGGAAAAGAGTTCAACGTCACTAGGTCTTCCACCTTCCCTTGAAAGGAGCTAAGCGGCAGCAGCGCATGCACCACCTCACAGAGGTCCCGCCAGGCAGCTGCGAATGTGATGCACTCGAGGCCCCAGGCTTATTTATGCGACAACTGCGTGGGTACCAGGCTGAGGATTTCTCAGGTGTAAATTCCACTTCAGCCTCTTATTAGCAAATGAGGCAGCTATGTCCTGGGCCGAGTATAATAGATAAGGTGACCAGAATCAGGACAGGCTTAAAAGGCCAAGGTGATGGTTTCAGGTCTGAACAAGTGGACGTGTCCGCCAAGGCCCAGGCATCACTGTGCTGTATTTACCTCCTTCTTCCCATTTCCAATACTCACTTCAGCAGGATCGTCCGAGCATCCATTTCCGCATCTTCATCCCCAGGCACATCAAACTTGTTGGTCAGCGTGAGAGACACTTCTGTCTTTGCCAGCGCCTCCTTATTGGGGTCATTTAAATTGCCAGCACCCTCTCCTACAGTTGGGGGGCGGGTACAGAGGTCAGCGTAACGGAGAGGAGACGTTAATACAAGGCCAACAAACATGTACGCTGTGGCAAGGACACCCTCTTGCTGAGAAATAAAAAAAACTAAACGCCAAATGATAAAAGCAAAGGATCCATAATAAAATAATTTCGTAAACGTTAAGAAATCATTTCAGTAATTGTGATATGACAAGTCTCTCCTAAGATATTCTGTTCATTTCCTTTATAGGACTTCTAATTTAATTATAGGATTATGTGTGTAATATCCACATTTAAAGTCTCTCTTCCACTGGACCTCAGTTCCTCACAGACAGGGGTGGACCACATCTGCTTCCGTCACGCACACTCTGAGCTGGAGTGGGGCAGAGATGGACGAGGTGGCAGTTACAGCCTTCCTCCGGCACCTTCCCTGTCACCTTCCGGGCAGTTAAGTAAGAACTTTACCTATCAGGGACTCGATGGTGGGCACCTCGCCCAGGTCGTCCAGCAGCTCATGGATGGGATCGTTGTGCTCTGGAGCAATGGCGTCCTGATGATCCAACAGGAGCTGCATTGAACACCCAGGAGTAAGTCCATGAACAACACGCAGCCCATCAGCCCTCAGCCCCACCAACAAGGCCGAATAGCACAGAAGGGGTCAGATAACAAAGCTCCTGCATTCAAAGAACTGACAGGCCAATCCCCAACAAACTAACCCAAGTCAACAATGTAACACATAAAGCATCAGGCTGGCCTCTGTTGAATGACTTATGGGATAATGCACGGAGAAGAAATACCGGTACTCTCTCAACCTCAAGGATGAAGGAATTTAAGTGGACCCTACATGGGCGAGAACAACCAACCCCACAGACTGCAAGCAATATCTAAACTCATAATGTACCCTACAAGTTCAAATAACTCACATGCATACTCGTACTTAATGTGTGCTGTTTACGGCATCTCTTAGTTCAGAGAAAAATGCACTGGATCCGTGTTGTGCTCATCTTAGGGGCACTGAAGCAGAGCCTTTAAGACACTATTACCCCCAAGGAATGCCCTCGGAGAGGATAATACTTGAAATTTCAAGGAAATTTCAAAGATTTTATTTGTCAGAGAGAGAGAAAGAACGCAAGTGTACAAGCAGGGGGAGGGGCAGAGAGAGAAGCAGGCTCCCCGCTGAGCAAGGAGACCGATGCGGGGCTCGATCCCAGGACCCTGGGATCATGACCTGAGCCAAAGGCAGACGCTTAACTGACTGAGCCACCCAAGGTTTTACTTTTTATATATTTTCTCCTTTCCTGTTCTATATACCCCCGAAGGAGAAAGGAACGAATTATAAAAATGTTGGGGGAAAAAGGAGCACCCAAGGGAAAATCACTCTAAGGGCCACAGAGGAAAAACTGGGTATTTTAGATGTTAGAAAAATAACACCGAGGGCCAGGATAAATAGATCAGTGCTCACAACGGTGATTCTGGAGCCCACCCGTGGCGACCTGTTTTGGCAGGCCTGTGGTAGGGTCCAGGAACTTCATTTGTGACCATCAGCCCAGCTGACTCTGATGTAGAGGGCCTGGGATCACTCTGAGACACTTAGCAGATCTTGTTAATATGCAAAGAGAAATAAGGCAGATGTGATGTCAGCAAGATCAAAGGAAGGTGAGGTATCTGGCTTTCCAGAGATGGTAAGCAGCACCCAGGGAAGGCAATTAAGGATAGAGCAACTACATTAAGTAATTAAAGAAAAAATACTTACAGTGTGGGTGTTGATGATTTCACCAATGGAAATGTAGATCACTGGTTTGGTAAGGGTCACTAAATCAGAATATTCATCCACATTAAATTTATCCTGAAGCTCTGGGACATCACAAGCAGTTTGGAAAAACCGTCTGAAAATACACACGAGAGCCAGATCCCCAGGTGACACATATGTGAGGAACTGACGAGAGGACATCCCACAAACCTCTGGAGCAATGAGTTCAAAGAGGAGACCATCAAGGCCTAGGATCCTAGAGAAGCTGCACATGTTTGCTGTGCTTCATGGCCTTGGGGAGGTGGTTCTAATAACTTCTCCCTCCACCCACTTTTAATTCCACCCACAAGAACTGCTCACCCGTAATTTAAAACCGTTTGCAAACACCGGAGTCATTAGGCAAACCAACTTTATCTCTAAGACAGTGTCCTGAACTCACAACGGGATGTTTAATTTGCAAATGTTGAAAGCACTCTCCCATTGTTCTCTGATTACAAATTAACACACGTGCCTAATGCGGGTTCATTGCTTTTATGTTAAGTGCCGTCTATTCTGTTGGAATACATTTTAACAGCTCAAAATCCTCTTCATCACCTCCAGGGGCTATGAGCACATCAAACACGTTTACTACAGCATGGCAGGGTCCAGGGAAACCAGGGAAAGCTAAGTGTGGTATTTAATCTTGTCCCGACACTCAGAGATAGAAACAGGCCCACAAGTACCTTGTTCCTTTTCCCCTACCTGAATTTCTGGTAGGACTGGGAGAGATACTCATTAATGATGCCCAGGTGAGCATTATCTCCCAGGAACATCTTATTGGAAGCTGCATGCTGGAGCATCTTTGCAATGGAGCCAAGATTTCGGCGTTGGTCCGTGGTGAGCTGGCCTCCTGCCGACAGGTCAATGATGTCAAAGGCATCAGGAGCAACAATGGCTGGATTCATGTATCGATAGTAAAGCAAGTTACCAATAATCTGGGAACAGATGGAAAAGAAAGGTATTAAAAACCACTCCACCAAATAAGCCACAAACGACTTTGCTAGCAAAGAAAACCAGAAAATGCAGTCCTGTGAGGAAAAATAAACACTATGCACACACACACATGCACGCATGCACGCATGCACACACTTTCTCTCAAGGTCTGAAACTAAAACAACCGAACATCCTCGGTTGGATACAGGGAAGAAGAAAATGAGAACAGAACAGAGTATCACCGCAACGAAAAAGCAGGTTCAGAAGGTAACAATGATAGACTTAAAGTCTGTCACTGAGTGTTTTAGGGCATTCTTTGTTCACAGAGCACGGCAGCAAATAAGGCTGCCGTCGCCCACGTGACCTATTAGCATAGTGTAATCTGTCCAACCCCCACCATCCTCATGCTGCAGACTTCAACGGTGGACAAGTTCATGCCTCTGAAATTAAAGTCACTCAACACACATCTCCTCCACAGAAGAATTCAAGGACAGTCACAGCATTTCCCCTGGAGTTTCATTCCAAAAAAAAAAAAATTTAATTCACCTGAATAGAAAGTCTAGAATCGAGGCCTCATTGTAGGAAAGCACAGAACTAGGAGAGAGAAGAAAAAAGCGTTCAGATTAAGGAAAAAAGGAAAAAAAAAAAAAGGAAGGAGCTCAGACCAGTGAGAAGAGAGATTTATCAGCAACAGCCTTAGCAGAAACCATGGTGCTTGCTGCCATTCACCCGGCCACCAGCAGAGGGAGCAATTCTTCAGCGAAAAGAGGACTGGAGAAATTTATCTCAAGACAGGAAAATCCACCTCCTCTAACTTGTTGGACGTCTGTGCGTGAAACAATAAAGGAGCTACAGAGGGACCAAGAGAGGTACCAGTTACTATTTACAATCACTTTCAAGAGCTCACTGCCAGAATCTATGCTTGCACACTTGCTGTCGGGCCTTGTCTTCTAACGTTCTTCTTTGAGGGCTGCTGGAGGACAAGGATGTGCAACAAGGATGTGCCACCATCCAGATTCTTACCTTCAGCAGCTCATCCTCACCGGCATCGGGGAACTTCTCATGTAACGAGTCCTTCAGCACTTTGGCAATGAAGCGCATCCCATAACTGTGGGATGGACAAAACTCGATGAGAGCCGCCCGGGAGCGGGGAGGGGGAGGCGGGGAGGCAGATGGGCAGTCATACTGGGATCTGCCTGGGGTTACGACTCTTGGCACTCACGGGATTTTGTCCACGGAGCTGATGATGGCTGAGAGGAACTTGTCTGTCACGGCCCGCATGTTCCTGATGGAGTTGTCTAGCCGTGTCTTGACCTCTTCATGAGCCAGAGCCTGCTCAGGGGTCACATCGTAGGGCAATTTGCTGGGAAAGCAAAAATCATCCCCAACTGTGTTAGGTAACAGCCAGAACAGCCCAAGGCAGGACTGTATCTTTCAGAAACAGAAAGACCCAGAGAGATCAGGTAAGCTGCTTGTGCTCATAGAGCCGGTAAACAGTGGGGCCAGAATCTGAGCTCAGGGTTTTCAGCTGTGAACTGGGCGCCTAGAACTATGTGCCAGGCACTGTGATAGGCCCTTGGGATAAAAGATACATAAGACACGATGGCTTCCCAAGTCTCTAACAGTCTGGTGGGAGAGACACACAGATACTGGTAAACATATTGTGCTATATAAATAAGAAGCTGACCGAGTGCCAGAGAGCAGGGGGCTGCCACTCAGATGGGAGGAATGGAGGAAAACTTCCGTGAGGAAGTGACACCTGAACTCAGGAAAAAGGGAGAAACTGTCCTCCAGGAAGGAAGCTCAAATGCAGAGCAATGAAGAGAAGGAGAAATGAGGTGGTCAAGTAAAGAGGGGCCAGGTTGTGGAGGGTCCCATACGTAACACTGAGAGGTCTGGACTTTCCTGGAAGCCAGGGAGAGCCACTAGAAGACAGGAGACCTGAATTGTGAGGAAGATTTCTCTGGCCCCCCCCACCCCATGAAGAATGCATTGAAGATGGACAGTCACAGATGAAAGAGATGGGTTAGTGCCACAGCCTGATTAAGAAATAATGAGGGCACGAGAAAGGATGCAGCTGTGGGGACCAAGGGGACAGATCTGAGATGCTAAGGGGACACAATCAGTTGGACGTGGTGACCCTCTGGGTGTGGGTGAGGGAAGTGACAGGTAACATACAAGAACTGAAGCCTGAGGAACTGAGAAGATCCCTCAGGGAGAGTCTGAAGAAACTGGCAGGAGAATAGTAGACATGCCAGGCTTAATTGGAAAGGACAGGAGGGGCTGAAAGACAAAAACGAAATACAGGGGTCAGGGCTCCGGCATTGTCAACGACGTCAAATAGTAATAATGATTATCCTGGATTATCTGGGTGGTCTAAATCCAGTCCTAAGTGTCCTAACAAGATAGAGGCAGGGGAGATTTGACACACACAGAAGAGGGGGCAATGGGACCACAGAGACAGAGACTACAGTGATCTGGCCACAAGCCAAGGATGCCAACAGCCACCGGAAACTGAAGAGGCAAGGAATGGATTTCCCACTAGAGCCTCCAGGGGGCGCCCGGCCCTGCCGACACCCTGCTTGCAGCCCGTTGATACTGATTTTGGGTTTCTGGTCTCCACAACTAGGAGAGTAAATTTCTGTTGGTTTAAGCCACCCAAGTTTGCGGTAATTTGTCATAGGAGCAATAGCAGACAGATACAAGCAGATAGGGACACAACTCCATTTGTCATACTGTGTCTGAATTACAACTAAGCAGACTACCAACACGAGAATTCAGTGAAAATCAATAAAAGCGTACTGTTTGAAACAACTGGTTATATAAGAGTATATTTTATTATTTGCAAATTATGTGTTCTATACCTTTTATATAAATAAAATGTATAACTTTATGTGTAAAGGATATTTGATAAAAAATAGTAATGAGCAAAGGGAATGAAAGCGCTCAGCACAATGAGTGAAGTCATAGAACAGACTGTTAAATTTCTCAGATTTTAGAGGCGAACGTTCCCAAGAGGGGACCAGGTCCCAGTCTGTGTGTCTGGTGGCTGAAGGTCAATTATCCGTGATGCCTGCAGGCAGGATCGGCTCCCACTGCACTGTTACACGTCCCAGTTATCACTGGCAAAAAATGTGTTGAAATCCATTTCCATTTTATGAAAAACAAAGTAAGACACCAGTTTCCTCACAGGGAAAAAAAAAAAAACCTGGAATGCCTACCGAAACTTTGTTCTAAAACAGACTGACTCATGGGACATGAGATCTCTCAATACCCTGGAGCCAGCGCCCTGTCATGTAGGGATGCCCTGGGTTGCAGGCGGAACTTCCCAGTCCAGCACGGCATGTGTCAACCGCATTCCAAGATTTGAGCCTCAGGTGTACAGGGCACAACAAAAATGGACTTTTCACCACATCCAGCAGTGACCTGCCTCCTGGTGACAGACATACATGTTACTGAGAAACAGATAAGGTGCCAAATGATCCCCATAGGGGATAAGGCCTTTCTCAGAGTCCGCAGAGTGGCTACTCTCTATCCAGAGGGCACCTTCCCCTTGGCCTGGGGGCCAGGCACCTGGAGAGCACGATGCCGGGCAGCACTGTTCAAAGTGTGAGCTGGTGCCAGTCTCCAACTCCATCCGGGATGGGAAGGAGCCTGAGCCAGAAGATAGTCAATGCACTGCTTCCTTCCCTAGGCAAGTGTGGCTATGAAAAACACCAGCTGAACTCCACAGTGTGCTGAGAGACACAGGATTTTCAGTTACTGGTCCACAGAGCACACTCTGAGTAGCAATGGTAGGGAGAGCCACCCCTCCTCAGCTCCAGAGAACTTCAGGCACAACCTCACCCTGCTCCACAACCACCAGGAAAAACCACCCTGCACCAAGCTGCTCACCCTCTCTGTCCTCATTCAAGCTGGATAAAACCAGACACATGCTGGCTCTTTGAACTGTAATTTCCCAGCGTTACGCACATTCTACTGACACACCTTTCTTTCGACGTGTCCATGCTGGTGGTTAAACTGCTGCCCTAGCCGAGAAATCCTGAGTTATGTTAGTCCAACCTGCCCCCAGGATGCCAGGGCTGCTCCACACCATTTCCTCCTCCTCAACAAAACACAGTGCTCTCACGCACCTAAGTTTTCCTGTCCAACTCCATCTCCAGTGATGCCAGTGTCCCTTCAGATTCTGGACCCCCGAGCTCCTCCCACCTCAGAACATTCAGACATGAATACCCTGCACCCAGCTCTCAGCAAGACTGGCCCCATCTTAACCTTTAGGCCTCAGTTATGTGAAATTTCACCTTCTCAGAGAGGCTTTCCCTAACCACCCTACCTAAGTGAGCTCCCTCTTGTACTCCCCATTATAGTTCCCAAGGCAAAACTTCCTAAAAGTCTCAATTTGTCATTTCATTTTTAGGTACCTGTCTCTCCCATGCAAGAAACTATGAACAGAGGGCAGAGAGCTTGTCTGTTTTGTTCATTACTGTATGTGTACCTAACACAGTGCCTGGCACACAGTTAGCACTCAATAAATATTTGCTAAGTATGTGGATACATTACCAGGTCAACAATGTAAAGAAGTAGTTTCTAAGAAAAAACTATTTGAACAGCTATTACTTTATAAATCAAAGGTTAAGTGCTTAAAAAAGAAAATTACAAAAATACCAAAGGAAAAGGTGTTGTGGTTGCCATACCTTGCCTCTCCTGTCTGAGACTCCATCTGATTAACCCAAGATTTATATATATCCACAGGGTCAGTTTTGATGTTGAGAGACTTGTCGTCCATAATCTCCTTCACGACAGGGGCCAGGATTTGTCTCAGGGCATTCTGGCCCCGAGCACCTCGGTTGAAACTCACAACCATCTTAATGACTGTAGGATTTCCTGTCACGATCTCTTGAATCTGATCTACTTTTGACCTATAAAACATCAGATACAAATTCAATTTAAACTGATCATGAAATCTATCAACGTAAAGCTAGAATATCTGCTTAAAGAAAGACCCCATCCCCTGGAAAGAGAAACCGTTGGAAGGAAGGAGGTATGGTGCTTTTTCTCTAGAAACATTCCCTGACACTGACCTGAACCCAGGACCCTCGTGCTGTTTGCAAACTCAATCACGGGAACCTGAACGGGTCCTTTATTAGATAAAAATGTGGCATCTTCATGTTTGGAGCAGCTTTTTAAAAATCCTATCTTAATATAGAATCTTCCTAAAATCACTTTAGCAAATCTCTTATTCTACCACCTCCTCAAAGCAGCAACACTTTGTATTTGTGATTGAAAAACTGGAAGCTGCCCTTGAGTAAGGGCTTCACATAGAGCTTGGAGTTATTGGAGGTCAAGGAGAGATACGGGCAGGCCTGAATCTCAAACTGTGAGTGAGTAGGACAGTGGGACGGGGCCCCATGCCCGGAAGCAATCTGTTCATACTTGATCTCCTCCTGGAGTGCGGTCTTAAAGAGCCGTAGGAGCAGGTACTCCTCTCGCTGGTTGGACGCGTAGTTGTACAGGGTGAAAATTACAGAGTCCATGAACTTGGTGGACTTGTTCTGGGGCATCTGAAAAATCAGCTTCGCCAGATAGGTGGGGTTCGTCTGAAATAAAACCAAGGGATACATCATTTCTAGATAATATAAAGGCTGGCACAAATATTCACATTCTTTTGAACTTGAAGATTTGGAATGTGCAGAAGTAATAAAGAAAAATAAGACAGCCCTTTGCTCACGCCTCAGTGGAAGCCAGAATTACTCTTGCAGAGATGTATGTTGGCGAAGGTTTCCTTATGGGAAAGTAAATAAGCTAAATCTTACAAGACCAACTCCAGGAGCCACTCACCTGCAATAAATAAAACAGGTGTTGATAGGCCTCCAGCTTCTCTCTCTTCTCCTTGCTCAAAGCCTTGAGACCTCCCTTCTGCTTATTTAGCATCATCATATCAGACAATTGCTCCTTATTTTTTTTGGTAAGTTTTTTACTGTGGGAAACCACATCCTGGAAATGAAAGCATACACATAAATCAAAAAGCTTTGAAAGATGAAACTGGGCACTTGTAGGAAAGGTCTTAGAGCACCAAAAAAAACTGGTATGAAGGTCTCTGCACTGGCAGATCCTATTAACTATTTTAGAATCATTACACTGTATCCTGTGTTCAGGACACCAGTCAAATCTCCTACTTCCACCTCCCTATTAAGAACTTGCACTGGGGCACCTGGGTGGCTCAGATGGTTTAAGCATCTGCCCCTGGCTCAGGTCATGATCCCGGGGTGCTGGGATGGAGCCCTGTGTCCATTCTCCCTGCTCAGCGGGGAGCCTGCTTCTCCCTCTGGCTCTCCCCCTGCTTGTGCTCTTTTAAATGAATAAAATCTTAAAAAAAAAGAATCTGCACCATAAAAATGTCCACAGACTCGGGAAACCATCTTCTAGGAATCTAGAAAAAGCTATGTATTCACTAAGACGTTAACTACAATGTTATTTGTAATAAAAACTTGAAAAACAACCTAAATGTCAGATAGGTGCTGACATTAAAGAGAGTATTTATGACTAGTGATCACATGTGAAGCATATTATCCTCTAACAGTAAGCAAAAATGGAGGATACAAAATGACCGTGGGGGGGTGGAATTATGGGATGATTTTTGTATCTTTTTTTCTATGTAAAATTTTGCTACTGAATTATCTCGTTTCTTATGTAATTTTTAAAGAATGCATGGCATTCGCTGAGAAGAAAGCCAGCCTCTACCCCACCTGCAGGTCGGAACGGGTGAGGCAGGGGGTACCAAGCAGGACAAAGGGCACCAAGGCCTCTGCTGGCACCGGACCATACCTGCAATGTGATTTTATTCTTTACGAGCAGTCCAATTTTGATATCCATGAGATTGAGGTCATTCTCCAGCTGTTGGTTAGAACGAATGAGGGTAATGACCTCTTCCCGCATCTTCATAAGATCAAGCTCCTCCTGAAAATCTTGGTCACTTTGGTCAAGAAGGTGGACAAATTTTCGGACCACAACCATCGGAGGATCCTCAGCATTGACTGACAGAAAGAAAGTATGTGTCAGACACGTAATGGAATTACCAGAAGAATTTCTAAGTTTTGGGGAAATGTCAGCACTGTCTTGAAAAAATAACTCTTAGACACACATAAGATATTTATTTTTGAGATGTGCAAAGACAACCAGCAAGTGCAGTCTTCTCGGTCATGCTACTGCTATGTTATGACAAAGGTTAGGACAGCAAGCAACAAGACATACAGCCATGGGTTAGCAAAGGGACTTACATCACAAGCAGCACCCTAGCCCCCAAGCCTTGCCTTCAGGACCAGAAAAGAGATCCGTGGAGAATACCCAGAACCTGATGGCTCTCAACCACTGCCTCAACTCTTGTCTGCCGAGCACAGTTACTCACTGAGAGTCTTGTAGTCATCACGAGCTTTGTTTGCCCGAATAAAAGCCTGGATTTTGATAATGTCATTTATCTAAGGGACAAAGAAGAAATTCCTTTGTTCATTTGCTCACCAAAAATACAGCAAAACTAATTCTGCCGGTCCTCCTACCCAAGGGCACTTACGTGGTCTCGGAAATACTGCAGGCGGTCTCTGTAGCGCTTTCTAGCCTGGTGCATCCTTGCCAGAGACTGAATCTGCGGGGAAGGGATCCTGGAAATTAGAACAGTCCTTCTTCTCAACACAGAGCACACGCACGTCCCGTGCTGAGAAACGCTGTCGGACTACCATACCTTTACAACTTCATCTTTGTGGGCGCGCAGATATGCTAAGCGATCTTGATACGCCTTCTTCTGCTTGTAGCCCCTCCACTGTGACTGAAACCATCAAACATTACAGTGGACATATTACTTCCCAAGGATCGGAGGGAGTTAAAAAAATCTCATCTTCATCAATTACCCAAGTGCAGTTCACGATGAAGCTTTCCAAAGGACTGCACCCAGCGGTGACAGGGGAATGAGGGCGTGGGCTGTCCCTCCACCAGGAGGGCACAGGGCTACCTCCCACCTCCCTAGGGTTAGCACAGCACTTCACGCCTTTCAAGGGTACCACACAGGTTCTCTTATTGGCTCCTTACAACGAATCAGGTGAGGAAGGTAAGTATTAGTATCCCCATTTACAGATCAGGAAGCAAACTTAGAGGGGCTCACCACCACCTGGCAGGGGTGGGGCCTTGATTCCTCACTTGGAATTCTTCCTGTGACACCATGCTACCCCGTCACTATAGTCAAACCACAGTTGTTTCCCTCAAGAGTCAAATCTGGCACAAAGGAACAGTGTTAGAAGACAACGAGTACCGAAGAACTGCGTCTGGGCCGGACGACTCATCCGGAAAACCATCCAGCACACTCGGACTATTCTGATTACAGCAGTAAGAAAGAGGAAGTACTTGTCAAAAAAAGGGAGAGACGAAGAAGTCAGAGGGCAAGAACCACTCTCGTTCGATCCTAAGAGCTGCCTGCTTCTTGCCCCTGCTCCGGAAGCCCGCCCCGCTGTCTGGAGAACCGGCTCTGAGATACCTGAATGCAGGTGATGGCAGGGATCTGTTTCTTCAGGAAGTTCATCCTGGATCGGAACTCCTGTCGAACCAAGTACCCGCGGCAGCAAGCCTGCAGCTTGGTGATCAAGCCTTCATTGGCTAGCCAAAGCTGTTCTCGGTTGTACGCAGCCGTCACCCCAGAGATGGAGCTCTGAAAAAGCATCCGGTCACATTGGAGGACACACTTTACCCACTTTCATCCACAGCACACACGGCCACCCTCACAGCTTTCTAGGTCTGTCCCACATCTCTAACGAAGCAGTGGGAATGAAGACTTCAGGTCTATTTCTCAGGGCCAAGTCGTTCTCACGTCCAAAAAAAAAGTTACACACACACACACACGTGATCTTGACACACTCACCTACCCAACACTGCCTGCCAGGAATGGTGCTTGCTGACCAGAGGACAGAATGGCAGGTACAACACAGGGCTGGGCACCAAGTCCCCGAAGCCCCTAGAATACCCCAGTGGAGGAAGGACACGGCAGGGGAATGGGAGCCTAGAGTGTGTGCACCGGGACCACGGGCACTGGAGAACCAGCACACTTCCCAACAGAGGAACAGAGCCAGGAGACTTCTTTTTAGAGAAGCGGCACTGTTACCAGAGTAGCTGGCAGGCTAGCGTGAGCAGGTGAACCAGGATGCTGTTACTGAAATCCAAGCGAGGGGTGAGCCGGGGCTGAGGGGGGTAGCGGCAGCGAGAACAGTGGGAACATCTGGCTACCCCCCTAATAGCCACGTTCCCCTTTTCCTTGGTATCAGAGCCTTGGTATTGTTTCCTGGCCAACAACAGGTGCCGTTAAAAGACTACACGGGCTGGGGATGCAAGCAGCTCATGCGGGGTATGCACAAGTAGTCTGGGAAGACCTTTGGGAAAGCTCCTTGAAAGAGACAGGGAGCTTTGCTCTCCTTCCCTTCCTCCTACTTCCTGCCTGAACCGGTAACTGGACGGCTGGTGCTCCAGTGGTCATTCTGGATGATAAGGTGACCTTGAGGGTGGAAACCACGTGCTAAGAATGGCAGAGCAGACAGACAGACGGATCCTGGGAACAGATGGCACTGTGGAGCCACCACACCTTCACTAGACTGCCTGACTCCAGAATTATTTTATCTGAGGAAAAAAATACACCTTTATATAGTGCAGTCTGTTTTTCTGTGAGACCGTGTGTGAGGTGTCAGCTGACTTCTAGACTGCAAATGGAAAAGGCAGGGCCAGTGGTTAGAGGGACTGAAGTCTGGAGGTACAAGATTTGGGGTTCATAAGTGCAAAGGAGAGAGCTAGAGCCACCAACCTGAATGAGGCCTCACAGGAAGAATAAGCAGAAGAAGAGGAGGTGGCCAGGGGCGTCCTGACGTGACTCAGTGGAGGGAGAGAAGGCAGGCAGTGAGGGAGATTGAGAAGGAGCCCTCGCCAGCGGGACAATCAGAAGAGAACTGCACTGAAGAAGCCAAAAGAGTCGTAAGTTTCAGGAAGAGAACACAGTGAGAGGTCAAGTATGAGGAGATCTCCTAAGAGACCCTGGCCATTCAAAGGTTATCGGTAAGTTCTAAAGCAAGAGTTTGACTAAAGTAAAAGCTGGACAGGAAACCGTACTGCTGTGAGCTAAGAAGTGAATGGTAATGGGGAATGAATCAGTGAGGGGCCAGACTACCGTTCAAGGCATTCAGCAAGAAACGGATGACAAATTTGTAGGCAAGGCCAAATCAGGACAAGTCCGTAGGCTTTAAAAATATCTTTTTTCCGGGCTCCTGGGTGGCTCAGTTGGTTAAGCAACTGCCTTCGGCTCAGGTCATGATCCTGGAGTCCCTGGATCGCTCGGCAGGGAGTCTGCTTCTCCCTCTGACCCTCCCCCCTCTCATGTGCGTGCGCGTGCTCTCTCTCTCTCTCTCGCATTCTCTCTGTCTCAAATAAATAAATAAAATCTTTAAAAATATATATATATCTTTTTTCCTACAATGAAGGCAACAAGACTATGTATGCAGGCTACTACTACTCAGAAGCATACGCCAGGGCCAATGGCATCAGCATCATGGGGGAGCCGGCCAGAAATGCAGATTCTCAGGCTTCATCTTACACCCACAGAATCCGTCTCCACTTTACAAAGATCCCTGGGACGGACGGACGGACACACACACACACAATTTCAGAGAAACACAGATCCAGGTTACATATGAGAATAACTGGAACTATGAGAGCGAAGGAGTACAAGGTGGGTGAGGAACTGGGAGAATGAAATCAGAAACAAGATGAACAATAAGCTTTGGACAAGAAAATGATTAAGGAATTAGTGAAGACCCAGAGTCACTGAAAGTGCGGGAAATGGAGAGTGGGAGAATCCAATTTGATGGACACTTTTTTTTTTCCCCTTAAGAGAGGTTAGTTCCTGCACCAAAGTGAAGCAACATCCCTCCCCGGTTTAAAATTCTAGTTAGGTCCATATGCAAAATACTAAGTAGGAGTGTCTCTGTGGAAGTTAATGAGCTAATCAAAGGGGTGTGTGACTCAAAACAAAGTTAAAAATCACTGCCAGAAGAGGTGGCCTGGCTTCCTTAACAGGCACGTTAGGCCCTGGAAACTCACCTGAGCCTTTCCTCACATGCCAGTTAACAGGCCCAGGACTGCTCGTCTCCCCATAAATGGCCCTTGTTCCCCCCAAGTCCTTGGGGCCTTTCCCCATACAGTCCCTTCCCCTCTTCCGCATCTGCTGAAATATTATCTGTGCTGTCTTTCTCCAGAACAAAATTCACTGCTTCCACAACATTCCCTCTACGTCACTGTTTTCGGAGCATCTGTTTCTGCCTGCCTCACACTACAGGACTCAGTCCCATGCTGTTGTCACCATCACACTGGAAACAACGGGAAGGCAGAAACTCTGGCACATCTTTACATCCCACTCAACACTCACAGAGTTCGAGGGCTTTCATTAAATTTCCTCACGGTGAAACCATTAGCAGAGAAGATGAAACACCGAGCGGGAAGAGGAGAACCTCAAGCCCAAGACAGAAACTCACCCGTCTGCCAGATGTTCTGAATGAGGGGACTATCTCGCTTTGTACATATGTGGGCGCTGCAGTTCTTCTTCCCAGGAGCTGGGAACTGCTGCCCGACGGAAGCAGACGGCCTGTACTGTCCTCTCTCTAGAATCTTTGTGCCTATTAGTAATGTGTCTCGGGGCACCTGGCTGGCTCAGCCCGCGGAGCACCTGACTCTTGATCTTGAGGTCGTGAGTTTGACCCCACCGTGGGGGTAGAGATTACTTTAAAAAAATAAATGAAGTAGAATAAAATAACATTTCTAACTATGGCCTATAGGAGCTCACTGAACATCTTCCCTCGATACCTTTTCCTCCCTTTTAATGTTCATTAGACAACTCCAGTTCAATGCGCACGAGCTCAGCTCCAAGTGATGTTACAAGTGCCCAGGAAGGACAAGATACGCGGGTACTACACACAAACCCTGCAAACTTACTGGCTCACTTTAAAAACCGGGCGTGGGCATGAGACAAGTACAGACGTGACTGAAATTCAAATCCAAGTTGGTTAAATTCTGAATTACTATGAAGTTTTTCGGGAGGGCTTCAAATGAAATTGGAGGGGGAAAGGAAAGAGAATTTTAAAAAGATTCATCAAGGGGGGCGCCTGGGTGGCTCAGTCAGTTGGGCATCTGCCTCCAGCTCGGGTCGTGATCCCGGGGTCCTGGGATCGAGTCCCCGCTCTGCGGGGAGTCTGTTTCTCCCTCTCCCTCTGCCCTTCCCCCCGCTTGCAATCTTGTGTCTCTCTCTCTTTCTCTCAAACAAACAAACAAATAAATAAAATCTTTAAAAAAAACAAACAAAAAAGATTCATCAAGGAGGCTGGCTGGTTCAGTGGGAAGAGCATGCACCTCTTGATCTCAGGGTCGTGAGTTCGAGCCCCACATGGGGTGCAGAGATGACTTAAATAAATAAACTTTAAAAAAAAAATCAAGGCGGTGATGCTTGAGATGGTAGAAGTTTGACAGATGTAGATGTCAGGTAAGGGACCTCTCATGACAGTGGGGACTTGTGCTGTCCACGACTGCACCCCCGTTGCTTAGACGAGAGCCTGCTACACTCAAGGAGGTGTGAGTAACTGCCGAATGAATGAGCAAACAGTAAGAACGAACGGCACAGCAAACACACAGAGGATGGGGAAAAAGCACTTTAAAAGCAGCCATAAAAAAAATGCTGAGCTTATCTGAAAGTACAGGTTATATTCTAAAACAGCATGGTTTGGAGTTTGTGGAACAGTCAGAAAAGACTAGAAAGGCAAATCAGAGAGATTAACAGTCACTGCATTTAACAAAGAGTTAAAGAAACTTTTCATTTTTCTTTTTTTCTGATCATCCAAGTTTTCTTTAATGAGCACACAATTTACCTGACTTCATTCTACAGTTTAATCTAGGCCCTTAGTCATTTCCCCAACCACTAGGGAAAAAAAACAGTCCACATAGTTCGTTATATAGCCTTAATTTTAACCTAGATCTTCTAACCACAGGCCCTGTCCTTCTCACTAATATTGGCTCTAGAACACGTTCTCTCAGCTTCTTTTCTTTGTGAGGAAATGCGACCTACCTGGATCTCCTCCCGAGAAAGCTGCACTGAATTCTGCACGAAGTCTGGGGGTTCCTCCCATCCTCCTTCCTGGGTCTCCAGGTTGTGGTAGTAATAGTATCCACCTTTCACCCAGTGCTTCACCCACTTGCTGTTATTATCTCCTGACAGAAAATAAAGGAAAGATAAAAGAAACTCAGAGCCACACTTCCCACACTCACATATCTAACACTGCAGGATTAACAGTCTAAATAGAACCATTCCAAAAACCTGTTCCTTGCATCCTTAAGAGTAAAGGGGAATCCTAAGTCCCTCTAAAATCATGGCTTCGTTAGGTCTCATTTAGCTCACTCATTTCTACGTTATAAAAAGAAAATATGAAGTCCAATTGTGGAACTGACCTTGACTAACTTTGTTCCTTCTAAAGCCAGCATTTAAGACTTTGTGTGTCAGAAAACTGCTCTGATAAAAAGATTTGCAACCATTCAGCCTCTCCAGTTAGTAAAAAAAAGGCCATGCAATGGGATGAAAAATCTTATCTATATTCCTCTCTTTCTGCAGATAAACTACTTTTTTTTTTTTGAAAGATTTTATTTATTTATTTGAGAGAGAGAGAGAGAATGAGAGATAGAGAGCATGAGAGGGAAGAGGGTCAGAGGGAGAAGCAGACTCCCCACCGAGCAGGGAGCCCAATGCAGGACTCGATCCCGGGACTCCAGGATCATGACCTGAGCTGAAGGCAGTCGCTTAACCAACTGAGCCACCCAGGCGCCCTGCAGATAAACTACTTTTATATAAACTTAGGCAATCAGAACTAATGACGCCCTATGAAAGAGAAATTGTCAAATACTTGGATGCTTTTTGCCTTTTCAGAAAATTGACCTTTTTAACACAGCTGCCCTTAAGGGGGGTGGGGAGGTAAGAATTTAAAAAAATTTTTTTAAATAGGGATATTATCGGGTGCCTGGGTGGCTCAGTCGTTAAGCGTCTGCCTTCGGCTCAGGTCATGATCCCAGGGTCCTGGGATCGAGTCCCACATCGGGCTCCCTGCTCCGCAGGAAGCCTGCTTCTCCCTCTCCCACTCCCCCTGCTTGTGTTCCTGCTCTCACTGTGTCTCTCTGTCAAATAAATAAATAAAATCTTAAAAAAATAAATAAATAAATAGATAGATAGATAGATAGATAGATAGATAGATAGATAGATAGGGATATTATCTCCTTGTGGGCTTTAAAATAAGCCTAAATACTGTGCCTCTACACTAAAGTGTATTTCCCTACAGCTGACCCCTCTTAGATTCAAGCTTTTCCTTTCAAGGCACATATTTACATCCCCATAACTCACCTGCTGCCAGTTTCTTCTTCTTGGCCTCAGCAAGGTCACTCTGGTAAGTCTCACCACATTCGGGGATGACTCCATACAAGCCGACATCAGGGGAACGAAGGGCACTCAGGGTCTTACCAACATCACCACTCTCCACTGCCTCATTAATGGCATAGATTCCTAGGGCAACTATCCCGGAAGAGAATTGTCACCAGAATAGTTTAGAAAGGGTCTAAAGCCCCACACTAATTCACCAACTGTTTGCCTACTGGTAAACTGCCCCCTGCCCACACCCCATCTCTCTATCAAGCTGAATACTGAGGTAGGGAGCCCAGCGCCACCCCCACCCGCCACAGAAACAGAAATAAACCACCGATACGTACACCTCTGTGCTTCTTGGGTGTCTCTGTTAGACTGCCAGATTCCACCTTGAATTTCATCCAACCACAACACAGCTGATTCGTCCTGGGTTTCCTATGCACCACGAAAAAGCAAAACAATATCAGAGTTATGGAATTAGGGTACAAGAGATCAAGGGGGCTTCTGAGACTCAGATGTAGAAGTTTCAAACACACAAGACACATCAAAGAGTCAACTGGGAGAGGCTGGGCATCAAAAACCTGGTAAAAGATTACAAGAGACTTGCCTCAGGTGCAGGTGAAGGGGACGTGAAGAGGAAGCAAGTGGTTCAGGAGGTCAAGAGCAGCTAGAAGTGGCAGAAGGACCAAACTGGCAAGGTACCTAGGGACTTTATTAGTGTGACGAGGGCCACGCTCTGAATATGAACATGTGGTATTTTTCAGAAAGCCCCTTTTGCCAAAATATTGAGATTCTCTATGACTACTGTTTTTAAGAGCATCAGACTTTATCACAGGAAAAGCCAGGAGCCGTAACAGGCAATCTAAACATGACCCCAGTTTATATTCTAAAACTGGAATGTTAAATCAGTTGTTGGAAACTTAAAAACACATTTTCACACAGAAACATAATAAATGGTGATTAGTTTCCTCAGCATGGCCAACAAAAGCCTCACAGGTCCATAGTGCAGTCTGAATTGAATACTGGGGACACAAATGAAATAGTAGTGTTGGCTTACTTCCCTCTTTCTAAAGACATCTTAGACTTTTTTTTTTTTTTTAAGAGAGCGAGCACATGAGCTGGGTGGGTGGAAGGGGCAGAGGGAGAGGGAGAGAAAGAATCTAAAGCAGGCTCCTCACTTAGCACGAAGCCCGACACGGGGCTCGATCTCACGACCCTGAGGATCATGACCTAAGCCGAAATCAAGAGTGGGGTGCTTAACTAACTGACCCACCAAGGTGCCCCCAATTTTTTTTCAAGTAGCTTATTGGCAATCATTTGCTCTGAAAGGCATTTTAAATAGAACTGTCTGCCAGAAATATCCTTCTCTATTATCTTCCAGTTTCCACGAATCTGGCTACCACTCTCTGATTTGGGCAAGTGGCTTCAGGATGAGCCCCCAGGGACTCCGTGCTGTGAGGGTGCAGGCAGCACAGTTGACACTCTGTCGTCTACCTAGGCTCAGCCTGAGTCAGAAATGCAAACCTCTGATACCAACTTAGCTTATAGAAGTTTCAACTGTCTCCAACAGGGTCGTCTGTTTGCTCACGTTTCCAACAGTCAGTATAGGAAGCACTGACTCAGTAGATTAAGATGGCAGCCTTCTCCACAAGAGGGAAGACACCTCAGGTTTTCCAGTGGCCAGTCTGACAGAGTCATGTTTGAGACGATCCTGGCAGATCCAACAAAATTAACTGCTTCTCAGGCTTGAGCTAATAGCAATCGGGGTAAACGGCAGATCAAAAATCCATTCTGTTTGGTGTAAATATAATCTGACAATCAGACAACTGGGGGCAGGCACTACAACTCTGATGCTGGATGAAGCAGGGTCTGGGCTTCAAGGCAAAGTGGGCCTTTTCACTGCCCTCAGGAGGCCCACCAGCCGAAGTCGTCGAAGCTCAGAGAAGACTTCACTTTTCCCCCACAGTATTGTGGAGGGAGACACACCGTTTCCCTTGGCAGAGCCAAGCTGTCCCCAGTTCCTGCAATTTATAAAGCACACTGGTGACGGGATAAGGCCAAAGGCAGGCCACTGACATTGAAAGCAGTGATTTACTCCTTTCAAATGCAGAGTTTTACAAAGAAAGATCATTTAAAGAAATTAAGGTAATGGGCTGGGCTTAGAATCCTAAGAGGCACTGTCCCAGTTTTAAGAAACTCACAGTCGGGAAAGGAGTACACAAATAGAATGCAAGAACAAATCACCGCAGAGCTGCAGAAGTTCGTACGGTCCTACCACCAGTCCCTTTCTGTTAATGAAAGCAGAAAATGGCCACAGAGAATCCCCCTAAAATCACACGAATAAATACTGGAAATGCTAAGCAATAGTTTCAGTGTGACACAAGAGGATGAGTCAGCTACGGGTCTGTGACAACGTGAACAGAGAGCCTATGCCAGAGGGCTGGGGGTGCAGTCCCCGACGGAGGCAGCCTGAAAATCCTCTCACGTGAAAACGTAAGTATTTCTACAGAACCAGGCTCTTTTGGGTTCACTTTTAAGTTAATCACACATCAGATACCTCTGAGCAGAATCTGCTGTCCGCAGAGCTGGGAGGTTTGGCACAACGTGCCTTGCATTCAGAGGAGGGCATAGCTCATCAAGAATTCTGACCATTCAGAGTTGTGCCTTCTCTGCCCCAGGCAGACTACAGCGGAACAGTTAATGCATATCCATTCGTACTCCCTTAAGAAACGGGTGACAGAGCTACGGTATGGAAGGCGAAAGAAAGAGAACAGATGGGTGTCTCAGGTGTGTCAGGGAAAAATGATACAGCAATACGAGGAAAGAGAGGCGACATACATCACCTCATCCCAGTATAAGGAAACAGGTACTCTCAGCTCCAATCAGATCAAATAAGATGACAAAAGCCCCAGATCCTCCTGCACGCTCTAAAAGAGATCACCCAAGATTAACACAAACCATTCAGCAGGAGGTTAAAACTCTGGGCTAGATGTTGTGGCGATTATGGAGATAAAAAAGATTTAATGTGAAAAAGCTACATTAAATATGCTGAACTACTGCCCCCTAACAATGCGAAGGCTTAGCACACTGGCTCCATTTCAGAAGAGGTAAAGAGATAGAAACCAGAAATAAGGATCAAAAGAGTAGGCAATGCTTGCAGGTAAAAGAGGTGGAGAAGCCACAAAATACGGAAAAAGTAAAGGGACAAGGGGCAAAAGAATGGCTATCGTGTGTGTGTGTGTGTGTGTGTGTAAAGTACAAACTCACACACCTCTAAAGGGCACTTCTTACCCCTTAAAACCTCCTTAGAAATCTCTCCCATTGGGGCACCTGGGTGGCTCAGTCGTTAAGCGTCTGCCTTCGGCTCAGGTCATGATCCCAGGGTCCTGGGATCGAGCCCCGCATCGGGCTCCCTGCTCGGCGGGAAGCCTGCTTCTCCCTCTCCCACTCCCCCTGCTTGTGTTCCCTCTCTGGCTATGTCTCTCTCTGTCAAATAAAGAAATAAAATCTTTAAAAAAAAAAAAAATCTCTCTCATTATATGTAGCATGGTGTGCATGTGTGATGATAAATAAAATCTAGGTTGCAGTATGTGTACATATATGTAATACATGTAGTATTTTTATCTGCCGTCACACATGCAAACCATGCCACATTATATGAACTATGCCATACATGCTAAATACACATGCGCACACACACATCCATGAATCTATACAACATATGCATCAACTACGCAACACGAGCACCGAACAATCAGAATGCAGCGGAATCGTATGGCCTGCTGGATTAGGTACATTAATCCTTTAGTTACTGCACAGTAGCAGTGTACCAAACAAAGTGTTTCAACATCCCAACAACTGGGACAGTTGCACCGGTGCATACCAGCTGATTTTTAGCTGCATGCATGTGTGTCTGTCTGTGTACACGCACACTGTAGGGTGGGGGAGCAGAACAGAGATTTACAAGTCATTCCTATCTGTAATTATAAAACGGGTTCCTTGAGAGTCCCTGATATCCATGCCTCGGCATTCAGGGATTACTACCCCATGACTAGGAATCTACTTTTAGCCAGTATTCCAAAAACACTAAATTTAAATGAAGAGAGAAGTGACCATCAGTGAAAATAGCAGAGTAAGGACATCTGAAAATCCTCTCCTACATAAAAGAAACAAAACCCTGGCAAAAATTGTCAACTTTTTCAAAACATCAAGAATTTTGGCTTGCAGCAATCAGAGTTTATTCAAGAAAAAACATTGAGGGCAAAAATGAACTACTGGGACTTCATCAAGATAAAAAGCTTTTGCACAGCAAAGAAAAACAGTCAACAAAACCAAAAGACAACCGACAGAATGACAGAAGATATTTGCAAATGACCTATCAGATAAAGGGCTAGTACCCAATCTATAAAGAACTTACCAAACTGAACACCCAAAGAACAAATAATCCAATCAAGAAATGGGCAGAAGAGGGGCGCCTGGGTGGCTCAGTTGGTTAAGCGACTGCCTTTGGCTCAGGTCATGATCCCAGGGTCCTGGGATCGAGCCCCACAGCAGGCTCCCTGCTTGGCGGGAAGCCTGCTTCTCCCTCTCCCACTCCCCCTGCTTGTGTTCCCTCTCTCACTGTCTGTCTCTGTCAATTAGATAAATAAAATCTTTAAAAAAAAGAAAAAAAGAAATTGGCAGAAGCATGAACAGACACTTCTGCAAAGAAGACATCCAAATGGCCAACAGACACATGAAAAAGTGCTCAACTTCACTCGGCATCAGGAAAATACAAATCAAAACCTCAATGAGACACCACCTCACACCAGCCAGAATGGCTAAAATTAACAAGTCAGGAAACAACAGATGTTGGTGAGGATGCGGAGAAAGGGGAACCCTCCTACACTGTTGGTGGGAATGCAAGCTGGTGCAGCCACTCTGGAAAACAGTATGGAGGTTCCTCAAAAAGTGGAAAATAGAGCTACTCTATGACCCAGCAATTGCACTACTGGGTATTTACCCCAAAAATACAAATGTAGTGACCTGAAGGGGCACATGCACCCCAATGTTTATAGCAGCAATGTCCACAATAGCCAAACTGTGGAAAGACCCCAGATATCCATCGACAGATGAATGGATAAAGAAGATATATATATATCATATATATGATATATATATATGATATATATAGATGTACACACACACACACAAAGGAATATTATGCAGCCATCAAAAAATGAAATCTTGCCATTTGCAACGACGTGGATGGAACTAGAGGATATTATGCTAAGTGAAATAAGTCAATCAGAGAAAGACAAGTATCCTATGATCTCACTGATATGAGGAATTCGAGAAACAAGACAGAGGAAGATAGAGGAAGGGAGGGAAAAACAAAACAAGACAAACCAGAAGGAAGACAAACCATAAGAGACTCTTAATCTCAGGAAACAAAC